ATGTTGGGTAAAGTTCTCTTTAATCTCTACCTTCAAACAAATTAGTCGCTATTATTGACAAAATACCCCTATTTACTTCTGGCAAGGCAAATGTCACTGATGCTACCCTAGATACTAACATCACATGTGGAAGCATTTTCTATTTTAAACTTTCAAACCTGTGTTTACAAAAAATACAAAAATTAGCCGGAGGTGGTGGCACGTGCCTGTAGTCCCACCTACTTGGGAGGCTGAACTGGGAGGATCACTTGAGTCCAGGAGACTGAGACTGCAGTGAGCAGTGACCACGCCACTGTAAGCCAGCCTGGGTGATGGAGCAAGACCCTGTCTTAAAAAAAAAGAGAAAACAGAAACTTCAAAAATCACTTCTTAGCATTCAGAAAAATGTTTTTCTTCTTCCTCTTAATGATCAGAGCCTAGTCATTACTTACAGTATATATATATTTTTTGAGACAGAGTCTTGCTCTGTCACCAGGTGCCAGGCTGGAGTGCAGTGGTGCAATCTGGGCTCACGGCAGCCTCCACCTCCTGGGTTCAAGCAATTCTCCTGCCTCAGCCTCCCGAGTAGCTCATACTACAGGCACGAGCCATCATGCCCAGCTAATTTTTGTATTTTTTTAGTGGAGATGGGGTTTCACTATGTTGGCCAGGATGGTCTCGATCTCTTGACCTCGTGATCCGCCCATCTTGGGCTCCCAAAGTGCTGGGATTACAGGCGTAAGCCACGGGGTCTGGCTACTGACAGTATTTAAAGGCAATTTGCTATTTAAATTTCTTGGCCTTCAAAAATGAAGTATTGGCTGGGTGTGGTGGCTAATGCCTGTAATCCCAGCACTTTGGGAGGCCAAGGCAGGAGAATTGCTTGAGGCCAGTAGTTAGAGACCAGGCTGGGCAACATAGTGAAACCCTGCCTCTATTTAAAAAATAAATTAAAAAATCAAAAATAGGCTAGGCGTGGTGGCTCAAGCCTATATCCCAGCACTTTGGGAGGCCTAGGCCGGCAGATCACGAGGTCAGGAGTTCAAGGCTATCCTGGCCAACATAGAGAAACCCCATCTCTACTAAAAATATAAAATTAGCTGGGTGTGGTGGTGGGTGTCTGTAGTCCCAGCCACTTGGGAGGCTGAGGTAGGAGAATCACTTGAACCTGGGAGGTGGAGGTTGCAGTGAGCTGAGATCGTGCCACTGCACTCCAGCCTGGGTGACAGAGAAAGACTCTGTCTCAAAAAAATAATAATAAGCCGGGCGCGGTGGCTCAAGCCTGTAATCCCAGCACTTTGGGAGGCCAAGGCGGGCGGATCACGAGGCCAAGAGATCGAGATCACCCTGGTCAACATGGTGAAACCCCGTCTCTACTAAAAATACAAAAAATTAGCCGGGCATGGTGGCACGTGCCTGTAATTGCAGCTACTCAGGAGGCTGAGGCAGGAGAATTGCCTGAACCCAGGAGGCAGAGGTTGTGGTGAGCCGAGATCGCGCCATTGCACTCCAGCCTGGGTAACAAGAGCGAAACTCCGTCTCAAAAAAAAAAAAAATAAATAATAATAATAATAAAATAAAAAATAAAGTATTATTTCTTGAGTTCAAAAGTTGTTTGGGGCCAGGCATAGAGGCTCATGCCTGTGACCACAGCACTTTGGGAGGCTGAGGTGGGAGGATGTTTGTGTCACTGGACTCTAGCCTGGGCAACAGGGTGAGACCCTATCTCAAAAAAAAAAAAGTTATTTAGAAAATTGCCAATAAGGTATTTGATACAAATTAGCATTTATAGTAACAATAACAATTCTGCTGATTTTATTTTACACTTGCCACCCTTTGAAGGAAACATGGTCAGGAACCTGCAGAAAGAAACAAACTCTGCCCACATTATAGTTAAACAGATGTGGGTTGGTACAGACCCATTTTCTGGGCCGCATTGAGTTCTGGGAGGTTTGGTTTGGTTGGAAAAGTGAGAGCTGCTCACACTTTCCACTGCTCAAGATCCCTGTAGTGGCAACAGCCACCACCTCCAACCATGAATGCCAGTGGCTGGGCAGACTTTGGGTACAATGGGCTTCAGGAGCCTTTCCAGCCTTACTCAAATGCTGGTTGGCACATTTGGGGGATACAGATTGACAATCACCATATTAATAGATGAAGAATAAATAATCTTCTAGATTTTCAGCTGTAGATCCAATCCATCAAGATATGTACTCCATTTGAAAGTTGTGCCATGCTTCATTCAAGTACTTTTTGATCACCTACTATGTACAATTTGAAAAATAAGAGTCAAAATAGGCCAGGCGCAGTGACTCACGCCTGTAATCCCTGCACTTTGGGAGGGCAAGGTGGGCGGATCACGAGGTCAGGAGATTGTGATCATCCTGGCCAACATGGTAAAACCCCGTCTCTACTAAAAATACAAAAATTAGCTGGGCGTGGTGGCCTGGTCTCGTAATCCCAGCTACTTGTGAGGCTGAGGCAGGAGAATCTCTTGAACCTGGGAGGTGGAGGTTGCAGTGAGCTAAGATCACACCACTGCACTCCAGCCTGGTGACAGAGCGAGACTCCATCTAAACAAAAAAAAAAGAGTCAAAATAAGCATGACATTCTAGGGCAGCACGCCCCACTGCTTGAGTGAAATGGGACACATCCAATTGTGGGAGATAAACTTAGGATGCTCCCAGATTGTCACACAGAAGAATGCTGCCTTCTTCCTGGAGGCACACCTGGGAATCTGCAGGTTTTGAAAAGGCAAGTAATGTGATGAAATCACACTTTAAAAACACTGACCCGACAGCAGTTTTGGGATGGATTTAGGAATAAGAGAGAAGCTGAAATAACACTGAGGTAGTGGGTGCGGGTATCCAGTTTAACCTCTCTCAGCTAGGAAATCAGAATGCTTATAGGATCATGGTGAAAATCAAGTGTGGTGCCTGATATGGGGCCAACAGCAGATAAATACTGGCTCCCTCTTCCACTACTTGGGGTTACTGCGGTGACGGTGGATGTAGGGTACATATGTAAGACAGATTACTTGGGAAAGAGCAGCAAACTTAGCAAATAGTTGAATTTTAATGAATTTAAGACAGATGAAGCAAAGGAAAAGCTACGATTTCAAACAGAAAAACCAGGTCTTAGGTAAAGAGGAGGAGGTGACGGGTTCGGGAAGAGTACTAGTTTGAGGGAAAGACGAGTTGACTTTGGATATTGAATTCGAACTTGAAACTTTACAAAGACAATATGGATTCAAGAGTCACTGATAGGCCGGGCGCGGTGGCTCGCGCCTATAATCCCAGCACTTTGGGAGGCCGAGGTGGGTGGATCATGAGGTCAATAGATCGAGACCAACCTGGTCAACATGGTGAAACCCCGTCTCTACTAAAAATACAAAAATTAGCTGGGCATGGTGGTGCGTGCCTGTAGTCCCAGCTACTAGGGAGGCTGAGGCAGGAGAATTGCTTGAACCCAGAAAGTGGAGGTTGTGGTGAACGGAGATAGTGCCATTGCACTCCAGTCTGGGTAACAACAGTGAAGCTCCGTCTTAAAAAAAAAAAAAGAGTCCCTGAAATTGAAGAGAAACCAGGAGTGTACCTTGAAGCTCAAGTTTCCAAGCCCCTCATTTCCCTGGGCCCTCCCAAGCAAACATGTCTAGTATTATGTTTGTAAGTTTTTATTGCTTTCCTTTAAGAAGCTCCCTCCCAAGTTATACAAGCTTCAGGCCCCACGGCATCTGGATGGGTTCAGTTAGAAATCAGAAGGTATTTCTATGAGATAATGGGAGATCAAGAGTTGGAAGAACCTTGTTACTGTCCTCAAAGGAAAAGAGGGGTCAGCAGAGAAGGCCAGAGAAGCACAGAGAAGGCCTGAGGGTAGGAGGCTGCCAAGGAGATCAAAGGCACGAGGGGCTGAGGATGGGTCACCAGACTTGGCTTCTCAAAAAGTAACTGTTTTTAGAGCACATGCTCAGTACAGTTGTGGGGGAGGCCCGCTGTCATGTCACTGGGTTGAGGAGTGAGGAGTAGGCAGGGGGTGTGGACTCTCCATCTGACAAGGTCGACAGTGAGAGAAAAGAAAATGCCACTCCACTCCTCACTTTCGATCTTCTGTAATTTAACTTGAACCTGAACAATCAGTATTCCTTTGGGATTAATATTAGCTCCCTGAGCATGACATTGTGTTTCTGTTTATTGCATTTTCTTATTCCTTAAGATTTTAAGATTTTCTTAGTTGGATCAATTTCTCTTCACGCTTGATCAATGGCCAAGAAATGGGCTATAGGCAGGCACAGTTCTGGTTTTTGTTGGTTTGTTTACACTAACAGTTTCTCTTTCTCTTTCTCGATCCAAGGCTTGCATATGGAGGTCAGGAATTCTGTCCTAGGAGTTCAGGGACTGAGGACGAGGGTGGAGGGAGAGAAAGGCGTCAGATATTAGGCTGAAAAAGAGAAAGGCGTCAGAAAGGCGTCAGATATTAAGCTGGTCGGTTATCTAGGATCGAGTCAAAGGTAACTATGACTTCATCTGCCGCAGAGGGCGCCTCCCTATCCCGGCAGTGCGTTTTCGATCAGCCGGTTTGCCCGGGATGTTTTCTTTGACTGCTTGCTTCTCACTGCTTGGCGCCCCAAGTCACTTTGAAAAAAAAAGATGTGATTAAATCGATTCCCCTGTTTCTGTTAGGAGTGTGCCTTTCCCAGACAGCGTGCGTTCATTCGATCAGACCTGGCATAAATTTTTGAGGGGTCTTTTTACAATTTAATACAACTTAAAGGTTCCTGTTACCATCTTCATTGAGAATTAAAAACAAAAACAAAACAAACAACGGTAATAAACCTACAGGTTGGGAGGCCCCAGGGAGGAGCTGACCTTTGGGAACCTCTAGCCCCGTCAGGTTTCGGCTGCAGGGCCTGGGACTGTTCTCCGAGTGCTGCTAGGTCTCCAGGGAGAAGCAAGTGTGGGGCAGAGGGTGGTTCGGCGCGTGCGTCGGGGGGCGTGTGCGGGTGTGTGTGTGTGTGTGCGTGCGCGTGTATATAAGAGTGTGTGCGCGCCCGTGTGCACAAGAGAGGGTGCTAGGGAGGCTGCCGCAAAGGCTCCTTTGTGGAAGGCACTTGCCGCTTCAGAAGCCAGCTTGGCACCTCCTCTCGCCCGTTCCCCGAGGAAACCTGGCTCTTCTGGGCAGCCCAGTTATCTCCGTCTCCCGCCGCCCCTACTTCTCTCAGTGGGCCAAGGCCCAGCCCCGCGCCAGCCTTCGGGGAGGGGAGTAGTGTGCCCTGCGGCGCCTCCAGGCCCTGGGGGCCCCGCGCAGGTGAAGGTGAGCGCGTGGCGGCGACAGCGGCGAGCGGAGGGAGGAAGGGGGAGCGGGGATTGGGGGCGGAGCAGGAAAGGGCACGCTGCCCTTCGCGGCGGGCCGGTATCTGCGGGACCGCAGCATTGTTACCTGAGGCCGCCGCTGCGCCCCGCCCCGCCCTGCCCCCTCGCGCAGGCGGGGCCTGCAGTGACCCGGTAGGAGGCGGAGGCGCCGACTACGCGGCAGGAGGCTGCGGAGGTCTGCGCAGCGGCTGCGGGGGACGCTGGCCGTGGGTGAGTGCGGGTTGGGCGACCCAGGCGGGGGCGAACGCAGCGCGGGACACGGGGAGCTGGAGCCCCGCCGCTGGGGAGGGTAGGGGTCGGGCTGTCGGCCGGGACTCTAGGCTGAGGTGCCAAGAAGCGCGGCCGATGGGCGCGGGGTCTCGGCTTCTTCCGAGCCTCACCAGGAAAGCTGGAGAGGAGGTTACAGCTCCCTCCACATCCACCCGGGTGACTTTGGCGGCTGCCCTTACCCGGCCGCGGGGGAGGACGACCGGTCCCTGGAGGCGAAGACGCCGGTGTGGACCCGCGTCCGGAGAACGAGCTGTATCACCGGGCTGCCTCGGCTCGCATCTGGGCCGTTGACTGAGCCATGGTTAAGACTTTCAGATCAACCGGCCCCTAGTTTATCCCGGCCAGTGGGAGACAGAGGCGTCCCGCACAGAAAGCGCAGCCGCGGCGCCGCGCTCTGCTCCCTCCCCAGCCGGGAGCCACGCCTGGCCCCTGGGACAGCAGTGCGGCGGCGGTGGGGACCCAGTGCGGGCCGAGGACTGGGCACTTCTCGCCTTTGCTCCGGCCGCGCGAAGTTCGGGTTAGAAGTTGCACCCCGCGCCTGCAGGAGTGTGGGGAGGGGAAGGAGGCGGGTGGGCTGGCGGGTCAGCCTCCAGACTCGGGGTGACCCCAGCTCTTGGAGAGCGGATTCTCGGTTTAGTTCTCTGACCGGTTTCAAGCGCCGGAGTCTCCCCTCTGTTTTTCTCACCGGCTCGTCCCTGCTCTCTTTTGACAGAGTTGCAGTGCGGCCTTGAGGCTTTCCCCCTCATGCCTGCGACCCCGACGGGGGATGTGGAAAGATGTCGAGGCGGAGACTCGGGGTAGGGTGGGAGCGGGCGGCCGCCGCAGACCAGGTGTCTGCGAGCCGGAAGACCCCGCTTTCGCTTCAATCTCACAGACACTTGCCCTAGTTAGCCGTCTCCCACCCCACTTCTGGGCGCAGCGAGCTGAGCCCCGCAGAGGGGCGGGCGCCGCGGGGGGCGTGGCGCGGGGGCGTGGGCTTTCTAGCCGGGGCCCATCCGGGCGAGGGGGCGGGGCCGAGACCCCAACCCGACGGTAGGGGCCGGGAATAGGCGACCTGGCTGGGCAGCAGACCCAGTAGCTGCAGACGCCGGACTGGAGAGCGGTTGGCGCTCGGAAAGGCCGAGGGTCCTGCGCCGCCCGCGCTGGGCACCCGTCCCGCAGGCCGCGGCCTCTCTCCCCGCCGCAGAGCCAGCGCGGCGCGTGGGGGCGTCGATCTCCGCGCGCACGGGCGCCCCACCCTCACCGCCGCGACGCGCTCCTGCCGGACGCTGATAAGGACGCGACTGGGGCTCCGCGCGGCTCACAGGGCCGCCCACTCGCGTGCAGCTTGCTGCCCCGGGGGAGAGCACGGCTCTCCGGGGATTCGCTGCAGAGCCGGTGGCTGGTTGGTGAGTGGCTTGTGCGGGGCGCAGGGTGCGGAGTTGGGGACGGAAGGAGGCTGCCGACCGCTGGCCAATGCGGAGAGCTAGTAAGGTACTATTTATGTATCCAAATTGGAAAGAAGTAGTGCCCTAGGGCCCCTCAGGCCGAATATCTTCCAGACTTAGTGGTCGGTTTTCAAACTTCTGTGTGCACAGAAACTACCTCCGGGGTTCGGCCATCTGTTACCCCCTTCTACTGACTCAGTGTGTTCCCGGAATAAACAGCCAGCGCTTCCTTCCCTCTCTCTAGAGCATCCTTTGGCACGCCTGTGCTTTTTTTTTCCCCCTTGGTTTTGAGACAGAGAAACTGAAAATGTACATTCAAATATAGGTGTTCTTTCTCAGCTCTTGGGTGCTGCTCTCCGGCGTCTGTGAATGTTTACATTGTTCTGCAGTTTGAAGGCACTGACTGGGAATGCGTTTTCCTGGGTTCCACTGCCTGGAGCACAGGCAGACGGAACACAGACGGAATTCACGGAAGAGTTGGACAGTCCGGCCAGACGGAATTCACAGAAGAGTTGGACGGTCCGGCTCTGGCCCGACTGTGTAGTTGTACCGACTCACATTCTGTTTAATAATCAAGAAAGGTTTTCAAAGATAAGTGGTGGTAGAGTAGACTCTTCCCGAATGAGTGGAGTGAAAGCAAAAATTCCATAGTTTAGAATTGCCCGTACTTTCCCCATCCTTTTCTTCTCCCCCAAATACAATAAAATAGGGCTGCGTGTTTCTCTACCTCTGCTCTCCAAATTTCCTTGCTTTGTCCTGGTTTGTCATCAGAAGCCTTGGGCCAGCCCTTCCTGCCCCCACCTCATCTGTGACACGTGCTTGGAGTCAAGGGAAAAGGTTTTCTGGCAGGTTTTCCTTGATGTTCCTTTTGATTATTGTTGACCAAAGGAGTGAGTGACCAGCTGAGCACCAACGCCCCACGTGTCCTCTTTCAGGAAAGCCCTGAGCTTCAAACTGACGTCAAGGAACGTCTTAAATACACTGTGAGATGAAGCCTACATACACTTTTTCTTGACTCTCGCCCACACCATTCAAAAGCCTAGAACTTCTTGGGATGTTTCTGACACCAAGGAAAAAGTATGGCGGGCTCTGTAGGCAAGAGAGTTTAGGAGGGGGCGAGGGCAGCTTTGAAGACCCTTCACGAACATTCTAAGATTTTTTGCCAGCCGGTTAACTTAAAGTACATGATCACAGCGCCGCTTTATTGAAATTTCACGTAGTTAAAAGATGCTCAACTGAGCGGCAGCCTCCTTGGGAGAGTCCATCACTCAAATACAACTCTGATGGGTCATGAGTAGCACTCAGGGGACTTGAAGAGACATTCCTGTCTTCAGAGCCCAGCCATGACAACTCTGCATTTTACTCAGAGCTGGGCACTTGTCAGCCTTAGCAGCTATTCTCATCCTGCTGCTGAGGTCTCCAACCTGTAGCTGAGATCTTACACACAGGCCTGTCTCTGTCTGCCCCAGGAGATTGATGGGACTACTTAGCATTTTCCAGACCGCGTGGGGGCTGATCCCATTGTCCCCACTGGCAGTGTCAGCTGTGAGAAACAGACAGCCAGTGTGGTCTGTTAGGGCTTCAGCATCACCTGCGTTCTCCTAGTGTACCTGGAGAGTGTGTGTTTGCATCTCTGCTGTGGGCAGTACTGCAGCAAATCCAGCGTTCTTTTGTGTATTCTCTATTTTAATTTCCACGTGGCTGTGGAAAGGGTTAGAATTCTGTCTGCACTCTGCTTTTCCTGCCACCTCTTTCACACTGGACATCCTGGCCCAGGGGGAAACCCTATTGAAGTAAGGGTAGTAAACGCATTAGCGTCTTAGCTAATCATTGCTGACAAACTTATTCATTAGAAGCTGTTGGGGGCCTAGGATCCTTGTCTGTTACCCTGGGAAAAAAATTAATCAGAAAACATACCAGGGACAGCGTTGTACATTTTCTTTCGTTCCTTTAACTTTTAAAAATAACATTCTTTTACATGGCATTGGTTAGAATCATCCCATTGCATAGCTGTGTTACTTTTTACTTTGACAGTCTTCTATCTGGTACTTCTGGGCAAAGCACAGTACTAAAAAATGCACCTTTCTGGCTTTATTGTTAGGAGATAATGATGTTGCACACCCTTGGAGTATTTAGTTTTCCTTAGTCTTTGTCAGTATCTCTATATTTGTTTTGTGAGGTGTAGTGGCACATCTGTATATATAAAAGCACTGGATGAGTTATTGCTGTCTAGATTGGAGACTTTCTGAGTTTATCACCATTCTTAAGAGGGATAATCTATAAACAAGTCAGCATCTCTGGAACTGGAGGTGAACTGGAGGATTAACAGCTCTTCTATACATGAGATATTTTATGTACATAAGTATTTAAAAATATGTAAGGATAAACTGCCAAAATTACCTGCACAGTCTTGAAAAAGAAGAGTTCAAATATAACTATAAACTGTAATTGACAATGAGTCATTTGCTTTAAGGGTGCCAACTATGAAAACAGCCTAGTTATGCCCCTAATGATAATTATGAAAACGCCTTCTAGAAGCCAGTTGTATCTCAAGTGAACTGTATGTTAGCTTGGAAAAATATTTTCTATTTTACTTATTTAAAAATTATTCAGTGGTGATGGCTGCATGGCACTTTGAATGTACTTAATGCCATGAAATTGCACACTTCAAATGGTTAAAGTGATTTTTTTTCTTTTTTTTTTTTTTGTTTAAATTATTTTTTTATTTTGTTTTTTTTAAAGATGGGGTTTCACCATGATGGCCAGGCTGGTCTTGAACTTCTGACCTCAGGTGATCCACCCATCTCGGCCTCCCAAAGTGCTAGGATTACAGGTGTGAGCCACTGCACCTGGCCTGGTTAAAGTGATTTTTTTAAAGTATCCAATTAATAGCTGGAAGTGCCATTTTCTACCCATATAGAGGCAATTTTCAAAACTCCAATATTCAAATGTTTCATTAAAATATTTGCTTTTGGCTGGTCCGAGTGCAGTGGTGTTTACAACTAATTGATCACACCAGTTACAGATTTCTTTGTTCCTTCTCCACTCACTCCCACTGCTTCACTTGACTGGCCTTAAAAAAAAAAAAATCTGCTTTTGTAATATGGAGACAATTTAATAAATAATCACTGAGCATTGAAAAAGGACATATTTTGTAAACTTTGCTAGCAAAGAATGGAAATATTATGAGTTTGTTCCTGACAGCCAGGGGTAACTTGGCATTTTATCTATGAACCCAATACATCTTTTAAAGCAAATGTAATGCCTGTGAAAATAAAGGGAAATCATATGCACATATGATAACAATTTGTTATTGTTATAAATAATAGCTGTGTACCAGGCACCTTGGTAAGGACCATACACATTCGCTCTTAATTTTTATACAAACCAATGGAACAAATATTTCCTCATATTGTAGATGAAGATGCTGAAATGTAGGTGAAGTGACTGACCACAGCTCATGCTGCACATCTTGAAAGTAGCAGAACTTTTTGAGAAAAAGGAGTCTGTTCCTAGAATCTCCACTCTTATTCCCAAGGCAGTCCTGCCTTTTGGATATGGTTCTGTGCGAATCATTTTATAATATTTGAATTTGTGATGCCAGATTGTTTACTTCTGTGTAATCTAAAATTATCTGAACAACTTGTGTTTTTAAATATGGGCTTTGACAGTGGTGCTGTAAAAAGATAATTATGCCCCGAAGTTCAGTGTAAAAGCCATTGTGTATGGCCCTCTGTGATCTGGAGGAAATAGTCCCCTTTCCACACTCCCACCTAGTTGGGATGCTCACTCGATAGCCTGCATGGGGCCCTTTCTATACCTCCATGTACCTCTTCTTGGATCTGAGGAAATTTGTCTTGACCTCTCTTTCATATCAGATCAGTAACAGCCCAGCATCAAAAACAAACAATTAAAGTTCCATAAAAATATAGCCCACCAAAGTAAGTTGGTGACTGTGTATAAGGGACATGTGGCAAATGTGACATGTAAGACATGGGCAGCATGTCCTTGGTTGTATCTCTTCTTTGCTAAAAGTGTCAGAAGCAGAAGAGGTAGGTGGTGGTTTCCAAAGAGTGGCTTAACTAGAATCCAGGATAATGGAGGTCATTTCATGTGTTATCCTAATTTTCTCCTAATGAGAAAACTGAAGTCTAGTGAGGTGAAGTGACTTGTCTAAAACTGTAAGCAGTAAAGCTTGATTTAGGGCTGGAATCTCATTTTTCATATCTGCTGTTCTTTTCTCTATTTGAGGGAAAGCCGCATCACCAAGTAGAGCAGAAATATGGTAGCCCTGACTCCAGGGAAAATGAGTTAGGCCAGTATTTTGTCATCTCCAAATGCCTTGCCTTATCCGTCCAAGGTGCAAGATGCCTTTTTTGACCCACTGATTGGTAGGAGACAAGTCCAGACTGGAAAAAGGTAGGGTCACTAATGCCTAATGCTTCAGCAATTTGGGCAGTTTCCCTAGGGGTTGGGCAACCATTGTCCTAAGAGAACAAACTAGTTAGTAAACAAGTAGTTTATTCATAAAGTGAGCAATGCTTGCTGAGCCTATAGCAGGCTCTCAGTATATATGTGCTATGTTGATTAATGTGAGGTTTCCAATTGGATTTGTTGCTATTTCTTTGGCAGAATTTCCAGGTAGTAAAATTTGATTCACATTTAGAAAAGAATTGGTTCCTTGTAATACACCTTGGGATGCATTGTCCCTCATTGATTTTCATATCCAACTAAAGTGAGAGGATTGATACTAGCCTCTGAAGGGAAATGCTAATGGAAACTGTTTGCCTGTAACTGATTTTATATTTGTTTTATCTTGATAGGTTTGGAAGAGGACACTGGCCCTTTCTTCTGGTGGCAGATAGCTACATGAGTTTGATGTTTGTGTCTTCTTCTCCAAGGCCAAGAAATTATCTCCATTGGAGGCAACAGTACTATGCATGTTATGAATTGTGTCTCCTTGGTCAGTGATAAAGAAAATGGGAATATTGCCACAGCACCTGGATTCATGATTGGGCAGACACCGCCTCCAGCACCTCCTCCACCTCCTCCTCCATCCCCTCCATCTCCAACATGTTCATATTCAAGGGAAGAGTGTCCTTCCTCCCCTCCTCCACCCCCACCACCTCCACTTCCTGGGGAACCTCCCATCCCACCTCCCCCACCAGGTCTACCCCCAACTTCTCACGTGAATGGCTACAGCCACCTTGGTAAGAAAAAGCGGATGAGAAGCTTTTTTTGGAAAACTATTCCGGAGGAGCAAGTTCGGGGCAAAACCAACATCTGGACCTTGGCAGCCAGGCAGGAGCATCACTACCAGATCGATACAAAGACCATCGAGGAGCTCTTTGGGCAGCAAGAAGACACCACCAAGTCTTCCCTTCCTAGGAGAGGAAGAACTTTAAATTCCTCCTTCAGAGAAGCTCGAGAAGAGGTAAGACTGCAAGGTGGAAGGCAAATCCTCTACAGACTGCATTGTTTTGTGTTTTGGGATGTGCATATATTTCAGACAATTACTAGACATCCCTAAGAAATGAGATAATACAAGCGAATGTGCCTTGGAAATGATAGACAGGGTCTTTACGATGAGCTTGAGCTGAGTATTGAGAAAGTGTAAGAAGTGTGCGTGCCGTATCCTCCCAGACGCCCTGGTGGATTATGACCTCATGCAGAGAACATGTTATTTGGGATCAATGCTCCTATCTCTAGCACATCTGCTGAAGGTTCCCTGTTGGAGAATTTTGCTCAAGTCCAGGATCGTTAGTCTCTGTTGAAACAAAAACTGAGTTTCTAAAATTGGTTATCTTGAGTGAACTGGAGCTGACTGGGGCAGACTACCTTTTGTTAAATAACATCATTGGCTGACATCCTTCCTTAGGATTTTACCCTTATTTTCCTCTCTAGTTTTTATTTAACAAGTATTTCAAGATGGCCTTCATTCCTCAGATCTCTGAAATAGATTATGGCCATTGGGGAACAGAGGTTTCCAGAGGGCCAAAGCATAAAGCTGTTTTCAGAGAGATTGTACAGGAAGGATGTTTCCAGTTAACACTTTGAGAAAAAATAAAGCTATGAAGTTATAGGAAGTTAACTAAAAGCCTGACCCCAGAGCTGTAGATCACCATGTATTACAGAAACTGCATCGAAAATTATACATACGTAAATATTGTCAGTTTAGAAACCTGCAAGTAAATTAAGAAACCTCTACCTGCTAGAAAAAATAAATATAAATAAAATTAAAAGGAAAGAATGCTGCTCCCCCACATACACACACACAAAGCACAACAAAAAAACAAACAGAGACAACAGAAATTCATCACTTAGAAATCTGTCGCAAAGGAGCAGAGAAAACAGGTCAGAGATGGCATTGATTAGATAAGAGAGTGGGCAGGGCCCTGGGATAGAGTAGCAGCTCCATGCGTTATTGAATTCTTGAGCCAACAATATTGACCTCTTTTCTTGTTCTGGCTCAGGAACATGTTAACTCCTTCTCTCCACTGATTCACTGGGGTGCCCTTAAAGCTGATTGTGTGATCTCCTGTGGAGATATCCAGGAGTGTATTTGTTATGAAATGAATGCAGAAAACACTGGGGTTAGAATTCTTGAAGTGTGAACAGTGACATAAATTTGAGAAGGAAATCTTCATGAGAACCCTTAGTGCTGTCAGTGCTGAACACAGCCTCGCCTGTCTCTTCCTATTATGCAAAGTCCTTTTATTTGCTGGAGTAGCCTTTCAGTATTGGAAGGAGCAAGCAGTCATTTCCTTAGTACCCTGGCCTTTGCCCCAGCTCCCAACAGAGGTTCTTTATTGTATGGTAGGTCATTTCTCACTATTGTCTCCCAGCTCTCTTTACTGAAATTCAAGAATACTGAACTAATTATTGGGTGGGCACAAGTGGAAATGAGGCCTGTGTCTCAGCAAAGCGCCTGTAACAGAAGAGGGCTAGCTCACCATGTCCCTGGGGAGGCGACTATCTGGCTAGAGTAGGTGGCATCGTCTGTGAATTGGGAAAATTTCAGGAGGCTACAGGGAACGTGCTACTTTACGTTTGCCAATTAAAGAGAGGTTAAGAGCCACTCAGAGAGAGAGAGGAAAGTGGCAGGCGTCTTTTCTCAACTCTTATAGAAGGAGCGATGTCCATTTTTAGACCAGCTTCGAAATTCAGGGAAAAAAATAATCTCTTTGCCTTCCTCCATCCCTGTAGCCTAAGCAGATTTTTACACTTTTGTCTTTAACCTATTTTTTTAAGAATTATTTTTTAAATGGTTTTAAAATTATTTTTAATTGTGGTGAAATAATATATAACATAAAATGTAGCATCTTAACCATTTAAAAATTTTATTTATTTATTTTTTTGAGACAGAGTCTTGTTCTGTTAACCAGGCTGGAGTACAGTGGCGTACTCTTGGGTCAATGCAACTTTCGCTTTCTGGGATCAAGTGATGCTTGTGCCTCAGCCTCCTGAGTAGCTGGGATTACAGGTGCACGCTACCACACCTGGCTAATTTTTGTCTTTTTAGTAGATACAGCGTTTCACCATTTGGGCCTGGCTGGTGTCGAACTCCTAACCTCAAGCAATCCTCCCACCTCGACCTCCCAAAGTGCTGGGATCACAGGCATAAACCACTGCGCCTGGCCTACCCATTTTTAAACAGTTTGTTGACATTAAGGACCTCCACATCGTTATGCAGCCATTACCACCTTCCCTCTCTAGAACACTTTTCATCCTGCAGAACTGACACTCTGTACCTGTTAAATCAGAACGGTTTCCATCTTTCCCTAGCCCCTGGCAGCCACCATTCTACTTCCTGTTTCTATAAGCTGGACTTCTTTAGGTACCTCCTGTAGGTGGAATCATATAGTATGTGTCTTTTCTGTGACTGGTTTATTTCATTTAGCATAATGTCCTCAAGGTTCATCCATGTTGTATCATGTGTCAGAATTTTAAAGCTGAATAATATTCCACCGTATATACAGATGACATTTGTTTATCCACTCATCTGTCAATGGACAGTGGGTTGCTACCACCTTTTGGCTCTTGTGAATAATGCCGCCATGTACATGGGTGTACAGAAACCTTTGCTTTTGGCTGGGTGCAGTGGCTCACACCTGTAATCCCAGCACTGGGAGGCCGAGGCGGGTGGATCACGAGGTCAGATCAAGACCATGCTGGCCAACATGGCGAAACCCCATCTCTACTGAAAATACAAAAATTAGCTGGGTGTGGTGGCTCATGCCAGTAGTCCCAGCTACTCGGGAGGCCGAGGCAGGAGAATCACTTGAACCCCGAAGGAGAAGGTTGCAATGAGCCAAGATCATGCCATTGCACTCCAGCCTGAGTAACAAGAGTGAAACTTTATCTCATAAAAAACAAAAACAAAAAACTTTGCTTGAACCCTTGTAGGTATTAGTCTGAGAGACAGCATACTAGAAAGAAAAATTAAATCACCGTGTGTATCATAAGATAATCAAACTCTGCAACTCTTCAGTATTTAGGTACGATAAGTAGTTGAGATTGATCCATTTAAGTACATGAGGTAATGCTGTCACATAACAGAGATCATCCAGAATTATTTTCAGTTTTTCATGTTATCTGTAGCATGGCTAGAAGTATTATATATACTTTTTTGTGGTAAAAGAATATAGTACATGCTATGTTCTTCCTTCTTTCAGTTTTCTTCTGTAGAAGTCAGAACTCAGCAGAGTTTATTGTCTAACAAAGATCAGTCATAAATCTTCCAGCTCACTTTGCAGTAAGTAGAGAGTCCAGGGTCAAAAGTAATAGTCCTCACTGTCTGTCTGTGTGGACGGTAGAATTCCCTCAACAGCTTACTCAGCAGAGGGACTGCTCCTAAGCCTGGAGCCACAGCATCACCACACTACAACGCAGGCTGCAGTTCTGGAGGTTCCAACTTGCCCAGGCAGATTACGACCCTTGAAATACATAACCTCCTACAGAAGCAGCCCGACATTATGTGATTGATTTATACTTTAAAGCCTTATACATCATTACTAATAAGTTCCACTGTACTCGCAAGGAAGAATTTGCTGGAAGATAGGGAAGATTGGAGGATGGCTGAACTTGGAAGGAATAATGCTTAAATAGTAAATTAGAGGCTTGGCATGGTGGCTCAAACCTGTAATCTCAGCACTTTGGGAGGCCGAGGCTGGTGGATCACCTGAGGTTAGGAGTTCAAGATCAGCCTGGACAACATGGTGAAACCCTGTCTTTAAAAAAAAAAAAAAAAAGTAAGTTAGAGCATTTAGTATGGGACTGGGTATGGTGGCTCATGCCTGTAATCCCAGCACTGTGGGAGGCCAAAGCAGGCAGATCACTTGAGGTCAGAAGTTCGAGACCAGCCTGGTCAACATGGTGAAACCCCATTTCTACTAAAAATAGAAATATTTGGCGGGCATGATGTTACACACCTGTAATCCCAGCTACTCAGGCAGATGAGGCATAAGAATTGCTTAAACCCAGGCAGCAGAGGTTGCAGTGAGCCAAGATTGCACCATTGCATTCCAGTCTGGGTGACAGAGTGAGACTGTGTCTCAAAAAAAAAAAAAAATTAATATGGGAATTTGTGAAATATTACTATCCTTGTATCTTTGTTAACTAAAAATTAACTCAAAGAGACTGCAGATATGATGGTATAACAATAATTAAGCTATTAAGCTATAATAAAGCAATTAGAAATAAAGATATATTGCTGGGGATGAGAATAGAGAGATTCAGCTCCAACTCATCTTCTTCTCAGAGTTGTGCGATTCCATCCCCTGAGAAGCACTGTAGTTTCCTGTCCCTCTATTACTGACATTCCTCAGGCCTCCTGGTGGTCTTCGACCAGTGTTAGTTGAGGGTGTGCGTGTTTCCCTCTACAGTTTGACCAGCTCTTATGGGGAGAGCTATATCTTAGCCATTTGGTATCCTCCAAAGGAAACAAAAGGTTACTGAACTGGACAGAACTGAACCAAGAGTGCAAAGGGATCAGCTTATGAGCCATCAGCAGATATTGGGGCTCACAAAGAAAACACAAATACTCAAACAACTGAGGTCATTCACTGTGATGTCTGTAGCGATATAACATTGACCATCTAGGAAATCACCAAAATGGCTAATTAGAAAAAGAAGACCACAGAGGAGAAGAGGAGACAGAGGGGTGGTCGGGGGGAGAGAAAGAGAGAGAAAGGATGGAAGGAATTTTTCTAAATTTATGACAAGTAATATTAAAAACTTTATTCTCCCACACCGTAATTCAGCTGTCATTCTCACCTTTTATTATGATCCTGGTATGTTCTAGAATTTTGGGATATGCTCACGATCCAGAACCATAGAACTAGATAGAGTATTTGAAATACATTTATAAAAAAATATGCTTCAACTGGGTTTTCATTTTTTTCCCCAAAAGTTGGGAAGAAGAACAATTTCCAA